ACTCGTAATGGCTGGAATAGGGGAGTACAACAAGGGTCGGTTCAGTCGGTTGACTCCTGACTGAGTTATCACTTGATCACATTTAACTCCAAGTCAAAATCTGTAGAAAGTGAACAGAGTACCCTGGCGTGTTCCGTGGATACTAAAGGCGACTCATAATGGGTGGAATAGCTGGTCACAACAATCCCCATCACAGTCGCTCCACTTTGGAGTGAGTAGTCACTTGAATGCATTTAATTACTGGTCGAAATCCATAGAGAGTGAATGGAGGACTCTGGCATGTTTAGTGGATACTGAAAGGGACTCGTAATGGTTTGTATTGGGGGGTGCAACAATCCCTATCACTGTCGCTTCAGTTCTCATGGAGTAATCACTTGGTCACATTTATTTCCTAAGCAAGATCCGTGAAAAGTGAACAGAGGACCCTGGCATGTTCAGTGGATACTGAAAGCAACTAGTAATAGCTGGAATGGGGGAGTACAACCAGCTGCGTTTGAGTCGCTTCAATTCTGAGTCAGTAATCACTTGATCACATTTAATCATGACTCAAAATCTGTAGAATGTGAACGGCGGACTCTGGGGTGTTTGGTGGATATTGAAAGGGACTCGGAATGGTTGGAGTAGATGAGGCCAACAATCCCCATCCCAGTTGCTTCAATTCTGACTCATTTATCATTTGATCACATTTAATTGCTGGTCGTAATCGATGGAACGTGAACAGTGGACTCTGGCATGCTTGGTGGATACTGAGAGGCACTCGTGATCATTTAGATTGGGGAGCGCAACAATGCCCATCACAGTCGCTCCACTTCTGAGTGAGTAATCACTTGGTATATTTAATTACCAGTTGAAATCCATGGAATGTGAACGATGCACTCTGACATGTTCGGGGATACTGAAAGGGACTCGTGATGGCCAGAATGGGGGAGGAAAACAATCCCAATCACAGTCGCTTCACGTCTGAGTCAGGAATTGCTTGATGAGGTATAATTGCAAGGCGAAATCCATGGAAACCCAACGATGGAGTCTGGCGGAGTACGGTGGGTACTGAATCAGACTCGTAATGGATGGAATAGGGAAGTCCAACAATTCCCATCCCACTCGCATTAGTGTTGAGCGAGGAATCACTTGATCACACTTAGCCACTCATTGAAATTAGTAGAAACTCAACGATGGACTTTGGCGAGTACGGTGGGTACTGAATCAGACTTGTAATGCATGGAATAGAGGAGTCCAACAATCCCCATCACAGGCGCTCCAGTTCGGAGTCATTAATGACTTGATCAGATATTATTCCAAGTCGAAATAAGTAGAAACTCAACGGTGGACTCTGACCAGTACGGTGGGTACTGAATCAGACTTGTAATGAATGGAATAGGGGAGTTCAACAATCCCCATCACAGGCGCTCCAGTTCTGAGCAAGGAATCCCTTGATTACACTTAGCAACTCATCCAAATCAGCAGAAACTCAATGGTGGACTCTGACGAGTGCGGTGGGTACTGACTCAGACTCGTCATGCATGGAATAGGGGAGTCCAGCAATCCCCATCCCACTTGCTATAGTACTGAGCGAGGAATCACCTGATCATGTTTAATCAGTAGTTGAAATCCATAGAATGTGAACTGAGGACTCTGGCATGTTTGGTGGATACTGAAGGCAACTCGTAATGGGTGCAATAGGTAGGAACAACAATCCCCATCACAGTCACTCCACTTCTGAGTGAGTATTCACTTGATCACATTTAATTACCAGTCGAAATCCATAGAAAGTGAATGGAGCACTCTGGTGTGTTCGGTGGATACTGAAAGGGACTTGTACGTGCTGGAATACGGGAGTGCAACAATCCCCATCACAGTTGCTTCACGTCTGAGGCAGGAGTTGCTTGATCAGGTATAATTCCCAGTCTAAATCTGTGGAAACCCAACAATGGACTCTGGCAAGTTCAGTGGGTACTGTGTCAGGTTCGTAATGAATGGAATGGGGGAGTCCAACAATTTCCATTGCAGTCGCTCCATTTCTGAGTGAGTAATCACTTCATCACATTTAATTACCAGTCAAAATCTGTAGAAAGTGAACAGAGGACTGGAGTGCATGAATCTCTGTCACAGTCATTGCATTTCTGTGTCAGGAATCCTTTGATCACATTTAATGACCAGGCAAAATCCTTCGAAAGCGAATGGGGTAGTCTGACGTGTTTGGTGAATAACCAAACACATTTGTAATGGCTGGAATGGTGGAGACCATTGATCCAGTCCAGATTATTGGAGTCTGTGAAATGACCTGTATGCAGGCAACGTATCGAAGTCCTATCCTATAAAGCCACATAAGCGAAGCACCTACCCTTACCCAAGTTGCAAGTCACAAAATATATTTTATTCTGAGATTTGCTATGGTACAACGGTAGATAGTGGTCCCTACTGTATACTACATCATACAGTAATATACAATGCACCCGGGCATGGCATCCAAACCGCGGTCGCGGCGCGCGCGCGACTCACAAGAGCTGGGAGGTGACGAAAAAAGAGAAAAGAAAAGATTGAAGAATAACTACTCACCCAATCTCAAAGATACTTGGCGCATCGTATTCCTACAGTCATCGTGAGCCAGAATCACCTGCCCTTGAGGCAGGGCGAGGCATTTCGGAGTTGGCGTGATGCACGACGTCGGCGGCGGTGACGGACGGTTCGCGGCGCAGCCAGCGTTCGCAGAAGCGAATGGTGGCCGGAGAGGGTGGCTGTGAGTGATAAGAATATGGCCCCGTCAAAACGTGCGAGCTCGCGCGCTTCCCGGGGCGGGCGAGACGGGCATGGGTAGCAGGGGGAGGAGGTACAAACAATTCGATAGAATATTAAGTACTCACCTGACGGCAAAACACATATAGAGTCGCGTTCCTACCCCTTGTGCGATCACGATACACCCGCGATTGAAGCGGGGCGTTGCGTTTCGAGAACGGCGCGAGGGACGTTGGCGGGGAGGGCGAGGGCGACGACGGCGGAGACGACAGTGGGCCAGACAGCGAGTTGAGGTCGGGAGCGCTGCCCACAGGGTAGGAGAGATGGGGGACGTCAGACGGGGGGCATTTCGGGGCCTTCTGGAGCCGGCGCGAGGGTGGGAAGGGGGAGGTGGGGAGGAGGGCGACAAAAAGTGGGAAACAATGTCGACGAGGGCGAACGGTTGCGTCGTTCGCCTCTCGCCGATGTCCTGGCACGTGTACCGGCCAGGAACAAGTGTCGGCTATCAAGCGGACAGCCTTCTGAAGGAGGGACGGGCAGGGAGGGGTTGGGAGGGGAAAAAGAGAAGATCGAAGATTGTGGCAGAAGGGGAGCACAAATGTGTGCACCCCTTTCTGCCACAGCTTCGTTATGTAGTCCCCAGCCAGAAACGACATCGAACAACAGAACGCGCGCGCGTTCTGGTGTTCGACGTCGGGCGACGCGCGCGCGACGACGACGGCGTCGACAGCGTCGACGGTCGTCCTACGGCTCAAAATGCACCTCCTCGCGCTAGTGTAGCACAAGGAGGTGCGTTCCGACCCAAAGACGCCTAGCTGGCGCCTTCGGGTCCGTCGCAAAATGAGGTTGTAGGGAGGGGGGGCTAAGCCCCGGTAAAATTGAGAATAACTCAACGACGAGACAACGCGCTGCTATAGCGCGTGTCTCGTCGTCGTCCTGACTCCATGGGGAGTCAGGAAATCGCCTCCCATCCGAAGATGAGAGGCCGGGGAAGCGGGGAGGAAGGGGGAGGGGGGAGGGAGCAAAAAAACGAAAAACGTGAATTTAAAGAGAACCGCGCCGCCGATTTGCGCGGCGCGGGTGTCGTTCGATTCATGGAGTTGAGGAGAGTCGTAAACAACGTCGGAACGCAGAACGCGGCGGCATTCTGCGTTCCGACGTCGGGAGGGGGAGTGGCTGGGCGGCGGCGAGAGCGGCGGGTGTTGAGCGGGCGCGACGGCGCGGATCGGTCCCAAATACGAGGGACGGCCTCTCAGAGGTCGTCCACCTGTACGAAAACGTAGCTGAGCCAGCGTGACCCGCCCGCGACCGAGCGCGAGTTAAACACGCAAGCCCAAGTATTAAACGACAGAACATCGAAGATAAGGAGATTTTACTCACTGTCCACCCTTTGTCCTCATCCCAGTAACCCTCTTGCATTTAAAAGTCCTCCACCCATTCGGTTTATGCAGCGCAGGAGCGAGCGGCGGCCATGTCGAGCGAGGCGGCGAGAGCCTGTAGAGAGCGAGACGCGGACTTAGCGTCTCGCGCGCGTTCGGCTGTTACCGAGCTGCCTTGCTCGGCCTATAGAGCAGTAATTACAACAAATAAAATATGTCAGTAGATGTTCTCGTACCCTCCGAGGACATTGAGAGATTTACTGAAGTATACAAAAGAAGTAAAAAAGAGAAGAGAGAGGAAAGTAGAAGGAATGGATATTACAATTAAATTAGGCAAAAAGGGACATCTCCTATCTCTTTTTTAGGGAGGGAATTCGATGCTTAGGACACATCTCCTATCTCTTGCTTAAGGAGGGAATTCGATGCTCCAGCCCAGACCGCATCGGCTTTCACGGCTAGGGTTGCATAAATTCTCGTAGAATTGGAGCGCCTGGGCGGGAATTGAACGACCGCCCTCTATATCCGCACATAGGCGTGTCATAGACCGTTAGACCAAATTGGTTAGAGTCCGGGCCAGCGCGGGAACTCTAAATAGGGTCGGGCCTCACTCGGGACTTGGTCACTTGGAATATATTTATTTCGTGCTGGGGGATTATACAGCTGTAGCTACTACATCCCTTTATACACTACAATACATATTAATATATTAGAGCCTCAGATGTGGTAGGTGCACCGTCATCTGAGGCCGCGCGCGACTTCGGGGTGGGGGTGTGGCTGGGGACCCGAAAAACAGAAAACAAAAGATAGAAAAATCGGGACTCACCCAATTGCAAAGATGCATATAGCATTGTCTTCCTACGACCAGCACGAGACAGGACTACCGCGCGTCTACGCGGTGTGAGCCGTTTCGGCATCGGCGTGATGCACATCATCGGCGGCGGTGACGGACCGTTCGCGGCGCCAGCAGTGGTCGCGAGAGCGAACGGTGGGGAGAGAGGGTGAATGTGGACGGTAGGAATACGGCCCCGTCAAGACGCGCGAGAACGCGCGCTCTGCGGGGCCGGCGAGAGGGGGATGGATGCAAGGGGGAGGAGGGCACAAATAAATTGATAGCATATTCAGCACTCACCTGACGGCAAAACCTCATATAGTGTCGCGTTATTGCCACTCGTGCGATCCCGGAACACCCGCTGTTGAGGCGGGGGGTTGAGTTTTGAGGTCGGCACGAAGTAAGGCGACGGGGAGGGTGACAGCGACGACCGCGGCAGCGGCGGCGGTCGAGACAGCGAGCGGCTGCTGGACGCGTTTCCCACAGGGTATCCGTGACGGGGGACGTCGGACGTCGGACGGTTAGGGGCCGTCCGGAGCCGGCGCGAGGATGGGAGGGGGCAGGTGGGGAGGAGGGCGACAAAAAATGAAATACAACATTGACGAGAGAGAGCCGCATGGTGGCTCATTCTCGTCAATGTCCCGAAGATCGTAGGAGCCGGGAACAGGCATCCGCTGTCAAGCGGACGGCCTGCTGAAGGAGGGACGGGCGGGGAGGTATTGGGAGGAGAAAAAGAGAAAATGGAAGATTGTGGCAGAACGGGTGCACAGACGTGTGCACCCCTTTCTACCACAGCTTCGGTAAGTAGTCCCCGACCAGAAATGACATCGAACACCAGAACGCGCGCGCGTTCTGAGGTTCGATGTCGCGCGACGCGCGCACCGACGACGACGGCGACGAGGGCGTCCACGGGCGTCCCACAGCTCAGAACGCACCTCCTCGTGCTAGTGTAGCACAAGGAGGTGCGTTCCGACCCAAAGACGCCTAGCTGGCGCCTTCGGGTCCGTCGCAAAACGAGGTTGTAGGGAGGGGGGGCTAAGCCCCGGTAAAATTGAGAATAACTCAACGACGAGACAACGCGCTGCTATAGCGCGTGTCTCGTCGTCGTCCTGACTCCATGGGGAGTCAGGAAATCGGTTCCTATCCGAAGATAGGCAACCGGGGAAGTGGGGAGAGAGGGGGAGGGGGAAGGGGTACAAAAACCGAAAAACCTACATTTAAACAGAACCGCGCCGCGCGAATCGGCGGCGCGGGTATCATTCGCTTCGTGGAGTCGATGCGAGTCGGACGCAACGTTGAAACGCAGAACGCGGCGGCATTCTGCGTTCCGACATCGGGGAGTGCGAGATGGGAGGTGGCCGGGCGTGCGGCGGTTTCGTAGCGGTCGTGCGGGTCCGGTTCGCTCCCAAAAGCACGATATAACCTATAAAAATGTAATGAAACTGTAAACTGAGTGTTCGGGGCCAGCACGACCCGCCCACGTCCAGACGCGAGGCAGGCATGCCAGCCCCTTGTATCAACTCATAAAACATCGGATTTCAATGTAATTACTTACCTTTTTACCCTATCCTCTGCTCACAAGCCCTCTAACATTCTTTTACACAACCAGAGGGACCATTGATGAGTTGTGGAGGAGGCGGCGGCGGCATCGAGAACGTCGAGAGCCGGTAGGGAGCAAGTCGCGGACTTCGCGTCTCGCGCGCGTCGGCGCGTCTCCGTCGCTGCCTCGCTCGGACTCTAGAACATAGTATAAGGTCAAAGGAACATGTACCCTGGGGTTTTCATACCCGCTGAGTATAATGAGACACTTACCGAAGGCCCACGTTGCGTGTGTCGATGACCGCGAGCGACTTTGCACTCGCGCCACCGCATTCGGATTGCTTACATAAGCCCATGTGCGGACTGCTCTTCTCTTGACCTGGGCTCATCGAGCCTGGCTCTCACAACAGGATATTTTGCTATACCTATATACTTCTTATGCCCAGGACTATAAATACTTTGATTAATCCAGTGAAACTGTACCTTTAGCTGTTTCCACTGACTCAACTTGTGTTCAAGTCTGTGAAAATTCAATGGTGGACTTTCGCATGTTCAGGGCTAAAGAACACAGACCTGTGGGTATTGCAAGAGGGGGAACAACCAACACTGATCAAATTGTCATGTTTTTGAGTCCAGTCGCCACCCAAACAAGTAAGCCAAACAGTGAATATTGGTGCAGGGTGAATGGTGGATGTTGAGGCCTTCGGTGCCTAATGAAACAGGATCAGGGGTGCTGAAATAGTGGGTAGCAAGAAATCCCAGACCAATCGCATAAGTTTCAGACCCCATCAATGGTCGACCGAGCCAGGCTGCAACCCGACGGAGATCGGTGGAGGGGAATGGTGGACTTTGGGGGGTTTGGTGCTTAACGAAACAGGATTGGGGGTGCTGGAATAGGGGGTAGCAAGAACCCCCAGACTGATCACATGAGTTTCAGACCCCATCGATGGTCGACCAAGCCAGGCTGCGACCTGACAAAGATTGGTGGAGGGGGAACGGTGGACTTTGGGGGGTTCGGTGCCTAATAAAACAGGATCGGGGGTGCTGGAATAGGGGGTAGCAAGAACCCCCGGCCCGATCGCATGAGTTTCGGACCCCATCGATGCGCGATCTCTGCCTGCCAGGCCCGGCGGCACGAAATCGCCCGCGGGGGGCCGGGGTGCGAGAATGGCGGGTCGGCGCGTGCCAAGGTATGCCTCAGCGTGCGCGTAGGCCCACCCCCAGATGGTCAGTTAAGCGTGCCGTTGGTAATTCCCGCGAGCATCGCTAGGCCGGCCCAGCGACCGTTCCATATGGGTAGGATCTGACTACCATACACGCAGCTCGCAGACAAACCTGTCCCCAGTCAGTGGTAGGCTAACAAAGCTCATACACGCTTTTCAGGGCTTGCTACAACAGTCATAATTCCATGAGAAGAGAAAGCGGAGCATAAAGCCAGCGCACACAACCAGTCAATACTGAAGAGCTACTATCCCATAGAAACAATGGTTTACATCTTAGCTCATTTAGTTCCTTCCGAAAGCGCAGGATTGCAGAATCTGGGTGGGCATATCACGGACACACTCGAGGCAAACACGTGTCGCAATTGACTGCTTCCCCTTCCTTTGAGGTCTTCCCGTATCACCTTGACCTTACTCACATGCAATATAGCAATTGCAAAATCAGGCCGCAAAGCCTCATGCATGCCACATTGCATCAGTTTACTAGGGACGGGAATGAGTCATGGGGTGGGAAAGACAATCCGTCTCCACTGTGCCACGCAAGGCCCCTCCCCACCGGCCTTCCAGGAAGGACAGCCAAGGTGTCAGAGCGAGGAGGCAAACTTACTTACACTAGCCATGTCCTCAGAGCCTGGTTTGGACGCTGCACGCCAACCCTTGGCCACTCACCCAACCAGGGTTGTGCCGACCCTGGCTGTCTCTCCCTCCCCCTAGGGTGGCTCCCCAGGGCCCTAGGGTTGCTTTTTGACCCTAGGTGGTCTCATAACCCTAAGAGACTACCAAATGACCTATCCCTATCGAGACTACAGAGTGACCTATCGAGACTGCAAAATGACCTATCGAGACTACAAAGTGACCTGTCGAGACTACAATGAGACCTGTCGGGACTACAAAGTGACCTGTCGAGTGACCTATCGGCCTATCGACCTGACCTATTGACCTATCGAGACTACAAAATGACCTATCGGGACTACAAAGTGACCTATCGTGACTATAAAGTGACCTATCGAGGTGACCTATCGGGTGTCACACTCAATGAGTGACATGTCACCCACATTTGAGGTGTGTTATCTCCAGAACGGGTCTGCCGTTTCCTTAGCTTCTTTGCACTTGTTATCTACCCCATACAACCTATCATGTGAGATACTAACATCCCCAGAATTATTATTTCCAAAGTTGGGTTAATCCCAACTTTGACTAGTTAAATCCCCAGACATAGCTTCAGATAATTCACGACCGAGGGTCATTACGAGCCAACAACGATGAGAAAATAAGCAAGAGGGTAGCTGCGAGGTGCACGTCAAAGGGAGATAAGCTGTGAAAACGAAGGTGAGGCGCGCGTTGGTGAGCACTTCAGATGCAAATCAGATCCGAGTTTCAAGAGCAAAAGCTTCCGCAACTCGGTTTGCGAGAACACGAGTCTTGAGGGGTTCATAACCTGTAGAAACTAGAGACAGTGAACCTCAGCCATCTACAACATATAGCAATGTATGTACCTAGAGACAGTGAACCTAATACACTATGTCAGGTACATCAATAGCACTGTGTGGGTACGAGACTCATCTCAGCCGTCTACAACACGACTGAGGGAAAAGAAGAGGGGACGAGGGGATTACAACTATATATATACCCGAGCACGTCTCGTCACAGTGAAGTAGGTGAAGTGCTCCTTCACGTGGTATCCTCAACAACTTTGAGAACCGCGCGCCGCGTTGTGTTTCCGCCGCCACCGCAGCGCAAACTTGTGTACATGCGGACTGGGAATGAGAGCGCACGGTGTATGTCCGGCGAGGTGGAGGGCGGGGGAGGGCGCGGACGCCTGGTGAGGGGAAGACGGAGCGCGGAGTGACGGGTGCGGGGCTGTCTCCGCGACGACGGGTGGACAGTTGCCGGGGACGACGATCGTCAACCAGGGTGCGGAGGGAGCTGCAAACGCACGCAAGCCCGGGGTACGAGGCGGGGTGCCCGGGGCGGCGACGGGGTGTCTTGATGCTGCACTGTGGACTTGGGCTGGCGAGTTCACAGGCGCGGGGCAGAGCCTCTGAGACGAGAAAGCGCTTGGATGCACGTTCGTACATAGTAGGGGTGCAGAGACAGGACTGGGAGACGAGGTGGGTCGTGGTGGGTTCGAGGAACGCAGGTCGAAAGCAGAGTGAATCAGGCGGGCCATAAGAAATGGGTGAGCAGGTGGCAGGAATGAATAAAGAGTCCGTGGAGCGAGCGGAACAGACTAGCTGGGAGAGAACGCCGGACGAGAGAAGGCAAGGAAAGCTTCCGCACCGCGAAACTGAATTGCTCGCTGAAGCCAAACGCAAGTCTAAAACCGAATAAGGGCGAGCCTGAAACGTCGAGGGAGCCGCAGGCAAATGGAGAGAGACGCGCCAAGAGGCCATGGGACTCGTCATTTGAGCAGACGCAGGCGACATGACGCACGTTGTCGCCGGGTAAACGCAATCCAGCGCAACGTCGCAGGAGGAAAAACGCGGTGAAAATCAACAGAGCGTACACACACCCACGTCGACTCCCTCTGAATAGTATGATGACGAGCACGCTCAGCCTCGACGGCAAAGCCCCAGCCAGGCGCAAGTCGTTCACGGGCCAGATCTCGGCGCTCCTGACGCGGCGGCGGTCGAACTCGAGCTCGCAGTCGGAGACGGCGTCGCTGGCGTCGACGACGACGACGGCGACGACGAAGATCGAAGAGAACAGGACCAGTGAGTGTCATTCAGGAGAGATCGCGGCGAGGTTATCAACGGGCGATAAGGGCAAGCGCTGAGATAAGGACCAGGCACCGGACGTCACCCGCCACAGCTCATTTTTCGTCCAGCCATAATATTCCGTCTCCTGTCCCTTCACTGACGGCCATGTCCACAGACCCATCCGACATTGACGAACAGCGCCGCTCCGTCTCGCGCGGCCGCGACTTTGTACGTCTCCGCATTCATCCACACCGACTAAGTAAATTAAACTAACAACGTATCACCCAGACATCCTCAGGCCGCGGCGGCATAGGCAACATTCGCCGCCAGTCCGCCTCGCGCGACCCCGACCGCAACCCCGACCTCCCCGAAGTGCCCCTCCCGCGCGGCCGCGAGCCCGTCCCCTACGCCGCCACCACCCGCACCGTCCGTCCCCGCTGCTTTATACCCTTGCGCTCGCTATTCCTGATTCTCATTCTCCAGAGCGTATCGGTCGGCCGCGGCGGCGCGGGCAACATCCGCTCGCCCTCGCGCGACCGCGACCCCGCCAGCGTCGCCGAGTACGAGCAGGACGTCATCCGGCGGCGCATGGAGGAGCGCCAGGCCGCTGCTGTGCGTCTCTCCTCCCTAACCCTAACCCTTTCCCCTCTTTCCCTCCCCCAACGCTAACCCCCCCACACAGATCTCCTCCGGCCGCGGCGGCGCGGGCAACATCTCCCCCGCCCCGCGCTCCCCGTCCCATTCTCGCTCCCGCTCCCGCGCGCGCCACTCCACGGGCCGCGGCGGCGCGGGCAACATCCGCCCGGGCGACGGCGTCGGCGCAGAGGTCATCGACGAGGAGGAGCGCAGGGAGCACGAGTACGCGTATGACCACGCGGAGCATCTGTACGTGTTTTCTGTCTCTGCGGGAATGGAAGAGGGTGGGCTGAGAGGCTTTCGCTGGGCAGGCACAGCACCGGCCGCGGCGGGCTCGCGAATATGACCGCCGCGCACCCCCCGCCGGAACAGCCCCCGCTGCATGTCCACGAGAACGAGTTCGAGAGCACGGGGCGCGGCGGGCGCGGGAATATCCGCGCGCGCTCGCAGAGCAGGGACGCGCGCTCGCGGTCGAGGGATGCGCTGCCCGAGAGGGAGCGGGAGAAACATGGCGGGTTGCAGGAGTTCTGGAACAAGGTCACGCATGCGCAGGGGAGCCCCGAGAGGGGCGGGGAGCGGGGGAGGACGAGGGAGTGAGTAAGATCTGGCAGTGAGTCAGATGCGGCAGTACAGTGGAGGGAAGGAAGTATTTTGTTATATGTATTACTGAGTACCTCCCACCCACTCGGGCGGAGAACAGTTCGTAATGTATCATTTCCGCACGGAGGTGTCCACATACGAGTACGTACTATTCCTAGGCTCGTAACATACAATAGTGCAGGCCCGGCACAAGAAACCGGACGGAGCCTCGCGCGCGAGGGTCGAGACGGGCTGCACCGGTCCCTCGCGCTCGGGCTGCATCGTCCTTGCGGTTGTGTGGGCCTGCTCGACTACGTGACGCTCGATATCAGCGGGCGCTGCTCCGAAGAACCTAGTTGTGTTCAGAGCGCCCCGGCTGTCCTTCTGTGGGGACTGCCCCGCCGGTGCTGTGCGGGCGGCGCGTTGAGAGCGGCGGTGTACTTACCTGCACGTGCGCACGCGCTGGACGTGTCCGCCTTGTCGTCGCGCTGTCCTCTTGGGCTGGAGGGAGAGAGCGGCTCCGTTCGTCGGCTGCGCGCATATGCAAGGAGGGATGCAGAGCACCCTGCACCGTTGACGGATGGATGTGTAGGTGGTTCGCTGCTACACGTTCTCCGGGACTGACCGACTGCCTGCGGGAAAGCTGAAGAGGTATCCACAAGGGACAGGTTCCGGTGTCAAGGCCGGATACGTACGGGACGGGTCTTGACTCTCTCGGGGCTGCTCAGAACCTTTCTTCCCGGTAAGTGCGTCCTTGTATACGAGCGAGCTTTATTTGAAGACGTTCCTGCGGTAGATGGCGACCTTTTGCGTCGTGTTCTGACCTCCGGCCTCGCTTGCTTTCCGGAGCGTTTTCGATTGGGTCGCTTGAGAGCGGGTAGCAGCGCCCTTCCTTCTGCGCAGCGTCCCGACTGTGGGCAACTGCGCCTGGGGTTCTAAAGTATAAGCGATAACGACTCGGAAAGAGGTAGGACGAACATACATAGTCTACAGGTCATCATCTCACGATCCCAGCGTTCGTTACAAACCTTTCTCATGCATATACGGTTTTGGCGATAGACTACAAGCTGGCGCTATGCTCCGACCGACATGCTGGGTGCGGGTCAGGCGTTCCAGCGGCACAAGGGTCCTTGGGAGAAAGCCGGCCTACTTAGATTACTGTGCTCTATAGATACCGCTCTTTTCGGCGTGTCGCATCCTGGCACATTCGACTCATCCGACCAGTCCAACGTCTCGCGAGCAGGTGAATCAAGTACCCTCTGTTCCTCAGACAATTCTCGTTAAAGCGAACGCCTCCGGGCAAGCTGCCACAGCGTGCTAGATCCGGAAAGGTGTGGCTGTGAGTTTGCCTCTGCTTGCCAGCAGTGGCCACCTCGTGACATTATCGCCGTCGCCGGCGGCGCCAAACAGCCACAAACAAAATCACTCCTGTTCGTTGTCGACGACGGCGTTGAGCACGCAATGCCCGCGCCCGCGCCCTTCTCCCAGCCCGCCTGGCCCGCGCTGTACCTCTACCCGCTCAACGACTCATTTGCGCCGAAACACATCTCCCTCGCCAATGGCCAGCGCGTCAAGATCGGCCGACAGACGAACGCGAAGACCGTCCCCGCAGAGAGGAACGGCTACTTTGACTCGAAGGTGCTCAGCAGGCAGCATGCGGAGGTGTGGGAGGAGGGCGGGAAGGTGAGCGGCTTTCGCTGGCGCGCAGGAAGCGCGCGCGGACGGGGAGTGCGGGGATAAGGCAGTAGGGCTCACGGCTCGCGTTGCGCAGATCTACATCAAGGACGTCAAAAGCTCGAACGGGACCTTCATCAACAGCGAGCGGCTGAGCGGCGAGGGGCTCGAGTCCGAGCCGTTCGAGCTCAAGACGGATGACATCGTGGTACGTTCACTCCCCGCCCCCCCTGCGCGCCGCTGCCACCGCTCACCGCGCACGCGCGCCCCAGGAATTCGGCATCGACATCGTCGGCGAGGACAACAAGACGATCATCCACCACAAGGTCGCCGCGCGCGCGTTCTGCGTGTTCAGCGAGGCGGACCTGCAGGCCGCCCAGCGCGCGGAGCAGCAGCAGGGCTCGTCGTCCGGCTTCGTAAGCATCGCGCAGGCGCCGTCGGGCAGCGGGGGGCCGTTCAATTTTGGCACAGGCGCCGGCGGGGCCAACCAGCCGCGCCGCCCGACGCTGCAGCAGCAAGGCATTTCGGGCATGGGCGGGATGGGCGGCAGCATGCGCCCGCCGGGGAAGAGCGGGCTCACGTTCGATCATATCCTCAGCCGATTGCAGAATGAGCTCCAGAAGAGCAGAGATACGGGGAGTGAACTTCATTCGCTCAGTGACGCTATGAACAGCGTGCACGACACTCTGGGCGGTGCTGTGGTATGTGTGTGGCCACCCATATGATGTTCATTATCTGATAGTTTACTACAGGCCCCTAGCCTGCCTCCCCACCCACACTCCCTCCCTCCCGTCCGCCCAGCATCCGAGCCCTCTACACTGAATGAGCAACAGGGTCCTACAGAGACGCTACGAGAGCTGCAGGCCCAGCTTCACGAGACCCAAAGCTCGATCGCAGGCCACGTCGACAAGATGCGCACGCTCGAGAACATGCTCGCCGAGCATGAAGCGATCAAGCGCGAGATTAACTCGCTTCGGGAGCTCCTCGAAGACCGGAAGCAGCACCAGGACGGCCCGTCAAAGCACCATGACCGAGATGGCCGCCAGGAACGGGATTACTCGTATGACGACGACGATGCGGCGAGCGTCAGGAGCGTCGACACCATTCGCGGTCACGAGCTTGAGCGTGTCGAGGAGGAGAACGAGGACCAGCTGCAAGCGGAGGAGGACGATGAGGAGCGGCGGAGACGGCGGGAGGAGCTTGGTCGGCCGCGGACGCCGGAGCCTACAGGGATCCACGAGGACGAGGACGATGAGGGAGTGCGGCGACGGTCGTCGGGCATCCCGGATAACCTCACGCAGCGGCTCACGACCCTATCAAATCAGCTCGAATCAGCACTGGAGTTGTCACGCTCTCTGCAGGCACAGCATGTCGCAGCTCAGAGCACGATTGCTGCACTAGAGTCGAAGGTCGGGGCCCTGGAGACGATGATCCAGACGACGCAGGCGGAGATGCAGGCGTCAAGACAGGCTCAGGAGGAGGCGAGGGCTGCTGCGGAGGCAGCGAGGGTGCCGGACGAAGAGCATGTTCGGGAGAGGGAGTCTCTAACGGCACTGCTCAATGAGTGGAAGAAGAGCGTCGAGGGCCAGTGGACAGGTGTGCAGGAAGAGTGGCACCAAGAGCGCGAGCGCCTCCGAAAAGCCCGGGAAGAGTTCGAGGTTAGGACGAAGGCTGTTGAGGAGAAGATCGCGTCGGCGGTCAGTAGGCTGGACGGCGGGCTTGCGAAGCTGCACTTCCAGGCGTCGCAGAACCTGCCGACGAATGGCGACGCACGTGTGAGCCCCGGGGGCGGCCTCGTCACCCCACCAAGCCCGCGCAGCGTCTCTTCGGATTCATTACGTTCGCGTCAGCGCCGGAAGCGCGCCAATGGCTCTCGTGGACGGTCGAGTTCGCGCTCACGTTCGCGGAATGGGACTGGCGGCTCAACATCCTCCGACTCCCTCGCTGACGGCGAAAACATCGCGATCCCGCGCAGTCTGTCCTCGCCCAAGTCTCGGCCACGATCACCATGGATCTCCGATGACTCGAGCGACTCTGAGGAGTCGCACAAGGCGGCGGGCAAGGAGAAGGAGGGGTCGTCGCAGGCGGAGTACCCGATGACACCAGAGTCGTCGACGCTGTTGCCACGGCCGTCGCTGGCGGAGCCGTCAGCTCAGCAGCAGCAGCAGCAGCAGCCGTCGTCGTCGAAGCCTCAGCCTGACATGGTACGTAGGCCAAGACTGCCGTTAGCGCGCCCTGATCGACTGATCTGGGACTTCTGCTGGCAGCATTTCGCACAGGTGTCGACGGCTGTGGGCGTCCTTGTGCTCAGTGTCGCTGCAGCCGCAGTTATATGGAGAGTGAAATCAGAGTAGGGAAACTATACCATGCCATACACCCGCATACATATCCGTCGTATTCCACCGTATCGTCATCGTCGCTGTCATTCGCATGTTTCGTTCATGTTTGCCCGCATCCCTCATAATCCGTTTAATTCTCTACCCTGGTCGCTCGTTAACGTTTATTTTCCATCCCGTCTCGCGCGTTAGTCTGTTCGTATCTGTAACTATGTCTCATGCATGGTCGCTGCCTAGTCAATGAACTTCATGACGGATTACCTTGTCGGGTGGGACCGGGTAAAGTTATTGCAGCTCGGGTTTGGCAGCTGGCTTGGGTTTATGGGCGCGGTTTGACAGTTTGACATCATGAACTAGCTCGATGTGGCTGGCCCCGGTAGATGATTTGGAAGAAACCATGAACACACGAAAAGACGGCAAGTCAACGCACAGACTGGCTGTCCTGACTGTCGAAAGGTGGGCGCGGACCCCAGCCAGCATCCGCGCGAATAGGTGCTCGATCATGATCGTGCTTTGACAGACTGATTTGGCTGTGGGCCAGAAATTGCTTGAACAATTCTGTCCCAACGGTTCCTGAGCAATCGACGTCCCGCATTCTGCCCTCGCCACTTAGGGGCGGTATACCCAGGTACGTCCAGGCTTACGCGTCAAATCGTCGATATATTGCCCACTAATCTGGTCCCGGTCCGTAGGTTATGCTGAGACATCCAGTGTGGCACGCACTGCCCGGGCAGGACCGACAGTATCTGCCAGATCGATTCGTAAATCTACCTAGGCTGCCCTGTTAAAGCCGGCGCATCGTCACTTCCGGTGTCCCACATCGATATACAATGTATTGCAAATATTGGGCCTGTATATTGGCCTGTTCCGCTAACAGGACGTGATCACCTCCCTTCTGCCTCGCGCCCAACGTAGCCATGCCTGTCCTGAGCGAGAGCTCAATATCCACTATGGCCGCTGGCACGGATGGACGAGAGCGCATGGTCTTCCCGGACACGGGGAAGCAGATCCTCGCCGCGTTCATCCATTTCATGGGTATGTCCTCTGCCCCGCATTCCTAGTGCAGGCACAGATAACACCGTCTCTGCAGGTGTGTCCATCCTGGCCCATTGTCTGTCCCGTAGGGTCACCATCGAACACCTCACATCCCTCAGCGGCTTCATGCAGCTCTCGTGGCCGCGGCTGCTTATCATCCTCGTCTTCCTCGACTCGTGGCTCTTCCTGTTCACGAGTACGTTATCGCATCCTCCCTCCTTATCCAATCCGTCTTAGCATCCTTTCAGGCGGCATCCTAATTTTTGGAGCGGGTATGGAGCTGAACAAGACGGTCTGCGCCCTCGGCATAGACATCTGCATTGCCTTCTACGCGACGTCGAAAATATTCATCTACTGGTTCCTCAGTACGTCTCTCTTAACTCTGTCGTATCTCTTAAATGACGCCCTGCTTAGTCGAGAAGGTTTTCTTGGTTTGGACGCCAGGTGCCGGCGCCAGGCGGATGAAATCCCCAGTGTACATCGGCTGTTTCGCGATGCTGTCGCTTTACAGCGTTGTGGTGGTCGTCATTGTCTTAGGTAAAGGTTTCTCTCCGCGGAAATCAGCAGGTCGTCCGAGCCTAACGTGATGACTTTCAGGCAGAGTATCATTCTTCCGCGACGACGGTGCTTGCACTATCGGTTTGCAGCCGCACGCTTCTGCAACGCTGGTTGCATATGATCTGTTCGTCCCTGATCCATCCGGTACGCCGCGCGGGCACATGAGCTAACGCGACGCTCTCAGATTCATCAACATTATCCTCAATGGACTGTTCCTCTGGCCTCTCTTGAGGAATCGATTCATGAACCCGACGGTCAAGAAAGTAGCTTCGCGTACTTTACTGTAAGTCTCGCACCTGCATGCACGGCTGCGGTCTCTTTAAAGGAATTACAGAGCTTCCGTTGTGGCTTTGACAACGTCCACTGTACGTCCATTCGCTAGATCATGCTGACAGGCACCAAACTGACCGTTCCGCGCCCCGCCCCAGGTTAACATGCTCGTCCTCACCCTCATGCACGGAAAGCAGTTGGGCTGGGTCTGCCTCGGCAGTTGCGGCACCGATGTACGTCCCCACATTCCCTCGATACCATACCCCCTCAACAGGTCCCAGGTCGTGTTCAACGCCCTCGTCCTCTTCTGGGTGACCGGCGGCGCGGGCAACAGCTCCATGGCGAACGTCTCCAGCGGCGCGGGGCCGCGCACCGCCAAGCAGCCGCCCGTGAACGTCAACGTGAACGTGAACGTCCTCCCCGCGAGCCCGACGTACCCGCACGTGCTCCCCAGCCCGCTCTCGCCCGACAGCAAGCACGCCGCGAGCCCGCGCGGCGGCGGCTTCGACTACCTCCCGCGCGAGCACGACGTGGCGTCGCCGTCGAACGTCGCGTTCGTGGGGGACGCGCCGCCGGAGAGGAGGCGGGTGTATATGGAGCAGCGGGGACGGTCGCGGCTGGAGAGCCTGGTGAGGTTCTTCAGGCGGAAGGACCAGCAGGCGGAGGAGCATAGTCTGCAGGTATGTCGTCGTCCGGCGTGAGCTACACCAGACTCCCTCCTGACGGACCGCAGATCCAGGTCACGACCATCCGGGAGGTGGACGTCCCGGACACGGCGCAGGTGACGCAGATGACGACGGACGAGGAGATCGAGCGGGGCAAGGACGACATGGCCATCGACGAGGTGCGCATGCACGAGCAGAAGGCGCCGTCCCTGAACTAGAGGCGTAGCACGGGACGGGACTGCACTGTTGTATTCCTAAGTCTGGTTTCTGTACGGTATCAGCATATGCGCGCTCCTTTTGTTATAGGTATATACTTTACTAAGTTATATTATGTGTTTTCGTGACGCGTTCATGCGGGGTTCGGTGACCGTCCTGAGAATGCTGCGTGACTCACAACCAAGAGGAGAAGGGTAACGGCAATCAACACGACGACGATGCGCTGTGCAGTTTCAGGCCCCGCGGGGGGTTGAAGGCATGTTTGAATTCTTCGCTCCAGCACCTGGAGACTGACACTTTCAGTTGCGGGCCAAGCACAGCGAGGTCTGATCCAGCAAGAATTATAAATATACCAGACAATGACAAGGAGGGTGATACGATGTAGCAGGAGGGTGTCCGTTGTATTATAAAACATAAATAGCGACAAAATCCACTCTTCAAGCTTCCCAGCCTGGGGAAGTGAGTCGACGTGGTCGATAAACGACGAGGGGGAAACGTACCAAATAGTATCCTACGCACGCTTAGACGCCTTCGACCCCTTGGACCGCTTCGAGCGCTTCGTACGCTTCGACACTTTAGTGCTCTTCGGAGCAGCGGAAGGGGTGGTCGAGAACGTCGGCTGCGCGCCCCTCAGACGGACCCGACCGTCCTTGAGGGTTTCGGTGACGACAGGGCTGGCGGCTGGGCGGAACTTGTATTCCTTCGAATACCTGATCGCCAGTGCTCAGCGCATGGCTGACAGGAGAGGACAGCTGACGCACCTGTGAGCGTGGACGACTTTCGGCTTCTGGCTTTGCAGTCTCAGGTGTAGGCCCAGCCAGAACAGCAGGAAGACGAATCCTATGAGAGCGACGCGTTTCCAGATAGATGGAGCAGGCTGGTTGAAGCGGGGATCCTGCCGCCGCTTCGCCTCGAGAGCAGCAGGCGTCGGCGACGACGCGGGGTTTGCCTTGCCGTCCTGCACGTCCTCAGTCGGCAGCGCTTCGTAACGAGCGGAAGTCATCGTAGGCAGCGTCGGGCAGGGTGAGTGGGTATACAACAGACGGTGGTCGCAGCGCAGTAGTGGAAGACTGGAGAGGGCGGAGATTGAACTGACTTTGCCACATCCACGGCGTTTAGACTTGGACGCGGACGGGAAGATGGAAGCCGAAGACGATGGCTACAGCGGAAGCGGTAAGTCTCCTCGTTCATTTATAGCGCTCCTGGTCACAGTGCCTCGTGTCAGGGATCCCAGAGTGTCTCGTTTACGCCCTGTTGCAGATATGCAGGTGTCGGACGGAGAGTCGGACGTAGAGGTGAAGCCGCGCAGGAGACCCCCGGTGAGGGAGGAGGAGGAGGAGGAAGAGGAAGAGGAGCAGGTGAACATTGAAGTTGAGGAGGAGGAAGAGGAGGAAGAGGAAGAGGACGGTCAGGAGGACGAGGACGAGGACGAGGACGCGGACGAGCCGCAGGTGAGCAGCACGCGTGCCCCGCAAGCATACGAGTGTTTACCGGCCGGCTGTTTAGGAAGATTCAGACCTGGATGAGCTGTCTACCCCGGAAGACGACACCCCCGTGCCGGCGCAACCGCGCCTCAAGATACGGCTCAAGCTGCCTGTCCACGGCAGTTTGACATCCAGCGCTGTACCTACCCCGGATGAACCTGCGTCTCGAGCAGGTATGTATTGCAGGTCGTTCCGGCCCAACCATTTCTCATATTCTGCAGACGTCGACATCGAATCTGACGGCTCCGACGAGGACGACGATGACAACTTCGACGGCGCACGCTCGACGCGCTCAGGTTCAGCTGCCGCATCCTCCACGTCAAGGGCGATGACTGCGCGCCAGGCTGCACACGCCGGTGTCGTCGAGACTACCCACGTCTCCCTAAGTATGTCTCCCATCTCTGAAGCGTCCCGCCATGCTTACTGAGCCATCCACAGCCGACGAACCTTCGTCCCGGAAAAAGAAGCTAACAGAAGCCGAGCTCGCTCTACGACGCGAGGAGACCGCCCGCAAGCGGAAACACCTCTCCGAGAAAAAGAAGGAAGAGGAGAAGGTGCCTTTTCATCCGCTGCTCTCCGGACTGTACTCGCGTCTTGCTCATACCTACTTAGGCAGAGACCATCAACCGCCTGCTCCGCGCCAAATCCTCGCGGACCCGGGGCGGCCGGCGCCGCGGCGGCGCCCCCGTGGTCGTCGAGGACACCCCCGCCGACTCCAACGCCAACCCCACGCCAGACGAAGAGGCGGGCGAGGCCGCAGACGCAGACGGGGCGGCCATGGACACGAAGGAGGACGCGGCGCCCCCGCCGACGGCGTACCGCTGGGTCTCCAGCGCGAAGGGAGACGGCGAGGAGAAACGGATGGCGCTGGTGTTTGCGGTGCCTCCGAATGTGCTCGCGCCTGTTGGGGGCAATGCGCTGCCGCCGCCGCCTGTGCACGTGGGTGCGGTGGAGAAGCCCAGGTGCGATGTGGAGGGGTGCGGGGCTGTGCGCAAGTACAAGCTTGTCAAGGATTGGAATAAGGGTGCGTGCGGTATGGCGCATTTGAAGTTGCTTGAGAGTGCAGCCATGGACGTCTCGAGTTGACAAGCCGATCCCCATTGTGCATGCGCTACTCTGGATTGGCGGTCTGAATTCCGGACACAGTGTTTCGCTGCTGCATTTGCTCCTTGCTTTCGGATATCTCGTGTTGTATTAGTACGTGTATATTTATCAGTTCTACGAAAGACCAAACACTTCAATTATTCTTTGTCTGAGTTGGTATGCAAGGTCTTTGTTCACCGGTCCCCCACCTATGATCCAATAGCAGATCCACCCACTGATATATCGAAGATTGTACACATTGTGCTCTAATTTCGACAGTGTCGGTCCAGCAGCGTGTTGTCGACCTTCTGTATCAATTCCCAGGGAAGCTTCGAGCCTCTTATGCTTCTTTCTCCTCTCCCTCTCCCTCACCGGATTTGCTCCGCGCATCACCGTCCGACATCGGCAGCGTCACGACCGGGCCGCGGAACCAGCGCTTACCTCCGTAAACAGGGACATAGTAGTATCCCAGCGCGCCGAGGATAAGGGCACCGAGCATTACGGGGGTGTAATTTACGTCGAGCGGACCCGGGTCCGGGTTGGTGGGGAACATGAAAACTATGATGGAGAATGTCATCCAGGCGACGGCGGTCGCGGCCACCGGGAACCCCTTCAATTAAAGCAAGCTCAGACTCGGAGAAATTACGAGGGAGGAGGAGCAGGAGGAGGGTACGCACCCACCGCCCGAGCGAGAACGGCCCCGGCTTGAAGTCGTTCTCGAACACGTAGCGAGCAGTGATAGGAATACAGTACGCCACGTACGATGCCGCCGCATTTAGCGTGAACACCGCGCCGACGGCCGCCGCGCCCGCGAAGGAGAGCAGGCACAGGAGCGCGGCGAGAAAGGCGACGAACCAGACGCAGTTGACTGGTGTCTGCGTAGAAGGGTGGATGCGATACAGGAATCGGGAAAAAGGGAGTGCGCCGTCTCGCGAGAAGGCGAAACTCTGGCGGGAGGCGACTGTGAGCTGGGGGTGACTAAGTTAAGTGCGGTGTATGAGAGGGAACAAGGAGAGGGATGTACGATGCTCGTGCCCATCATAAACCTAGGGAATCATGGGTGAGGGTGAACGGGCTGATGGAGGGGGTGGAGACTTACTGCAAGATGATCACGACAGACCATAGAGCGAGAGCGCCGCTTTTGCCTAGACTGTTCAGGAAGATCTGGCATAAGTATATCAAGCCATCGGTGAGATGTTTCCGGCACAAGCGGATGAGTAGTGGTGCGTACGACAGCGAGAGGCTGTCCAACGCCGCTCCCGAGTATGCTCTCGAGGTCAGTCCCCATGCAAAACGCAACGACTACGTTTAAAGCTATTCGCGCTGAGTAAAGAGCGAGATGGGTCGACGACCTATGTACGTACCCCAGCCGAGTATGGCAGGTATGGATGCACCCAGTATGATGGCCCATGGGACCGCAGTGCTGGCGTTTGAGGCTTCTTCGCTGATGTGGACGGGCGAATCGAACGCGCCTACATCACGGATGATCAGAAGGAACCTTCGGGTATTTAGCAGTAATGACGTGACACACCTACGGCCCATAGCGGGGCGATGAAGCTGAGGACAAAGGCGAACCCGGGATGCCAAGTGGACACTGACGTGCAGTCGGTAATGAAGGATCGCGAGTCAAGTGGCATCTACGAACGATTTTGGAAGTTTCCCAGCGCGAAACTCGCTGGGTTTTGGAACTCCTCAGGGGTTGCGACTGGAAGAGCTATGATGATGGCAATGAAGCATCTTGTATTCATGTCAAATACGAATCATCACTGGGTTGAAGGATACTCACGATATGTTCAAAACTATATAAAGGGACTGGACTCGGGCAATGTACTTTGTCGCAGTGCTACACAAGATACCGCTGACTACGAGGATAGCACAATAAACGCCACTAACGAAGCTTTAGTGAACCGTGCACGAGAAGAGCGATGGTGCGACATACTACGTCTGGCCGTTTGTTGGAATGAAAGTCTCATCGTACCCGATGCTTACAGCAGCCATAATCTGGACTGCGCACCCCCAGCCGACGGATGCCACGGACCCTGTGAGCGCCATGGTGTTGGCATCTACAAGTGATTTTAGGCAAAGAAGGGACACGAAAGTCGTATTTCTCACATCCAACTGTTAACGATTTAAAGAAGGTATTAACATTTTGCGCAACTCGACGTACCAATCCAACACAGAAGATACCGCCACCGAGGGGATGAGAGCGAGTATGTCCAGTAGTACAGCCCGCCTGAGGTAGGGGCTGCAGATGCTAGGTCCGCCATCGCTAGTGCAATTATGACAAGGAAGAATGCACAGATAGCCCACTGGACAGAGATGAGTTATATGGAGAAGCTATTGGGGACAGATGTGATACGCACACCCCAGACCATCGCGACGGGTCCACCGTTTGGGATCGCATACACAAGCACAGACCTAAAGTACAGATGAAAGTCAGATGTTCAGAAGAGACTGAGTGAAGACTGTGCCTACGCAAATGACGGCACCGGACCTAGCACACTGAAAAGGACCCCAAAGAGCTCCCAAGGGGTGAATTCACGCTTGAACTCCTGCTTGTACCCGAGACTCTCGAGAAGAGCATCATCGTCGTTCTTGTCGACCGGCTTCTCGAGCACGGTAATGCTGGATTCTTTCTTCATGGTTAGCACTGAGCGAGATAGTAGGTCGCACCGCATACGCTTCGTGGGGGACTATGTATGTATAGAAGAGGATGGCCGCAGATAAGCACGTCTCATGACGAGAGCGGATATCATTCGTCCAAGAATAGCACTTTATCAAAGGCGCAGGGAGGGTGGCAAGAAAGCCGTCCATCTTGCACATCATGGTGGGGTTTCTGCGTACAGAAACGTGTGGATGATGACGCCGCCACTCTCATCTTCAATGCCAGCATCAAACCGATATTTGAGGATGGGATCGAAGAAGACAGCAGCGGACTCTAGCCAGAGCGTTTTACCGGCGTGCTGTGGTCGGAGGGTTTCATCAGCAACAAGCCTAAGTGACACGCACCTTTGCACCACTGGCACTGGCAGCGGTCGGTATTCATGGCAGATAACGGACATAAAGAGGGTGAACTTTGTCCAAGGAAGCCCGGCCTTATCAGACGACCTATTAGTAGTAATGGAGATCAAAACTTCCGTCCTGTGTATCGGATACAAATTTGTTAGAATCAGTGGAGGGAATGCAACCCAGAGGAGAACATTGGAGGATAGTATGCATATGGTTGTTACTCATGCGCCGCATCCAATTCTTGATACTAGGGGTGCTCAAAAATTGATCGTTCGCGTTCCATCGTTGTGCAGCAATCCTAAACTGGACTGACCGCCAAATCCGTCGCTCACAGAGGTAGTGTTGCTCCTGCAGTGAGGTGACTTTGCAGACTGTCTCACTTCACTTCAAGTTTGACGTACTTCACCCACTGCACAGTCGTCATGAATTGCCTTTGAAGACTGCATTGAAGTCTGATCATGGCCACGTGCTGACCGTTAATGGCAGCGCGCACCACCAGATGCGCTCGCCCTGCGTCCAAGTGGTGTCCGAGTCGCAGAGTCGTATCTACTCCGCGTCATACCCCGTGCAGAGATAACAATAGAACGGCCGTGGCAGATAACCTCCATGATATGCTGGCAGTCTGCACTGGGCTCAAGAAATTCATCAGGAGTCCATATGACAAGGTGTCGACTTGACTTTTGGTATTGTACGTCCTGGCAGATGGTATGGGCATTATTCGTGTATTTTAGAGTACAATGTATATGCAGATATCCCCGAGTTCGTCCTACGAGGGCAAGTCAGTGCCTTCACCACGCGTACGTGGGAATATTACGGGATATCCCGAGGCTGATCTGACCACTTCAATGAAGACGTTGAAGCGCCTTCAACTTCACTTCACTCGGGTTGCAGTGTCAAAAACTCCACTGTGCGACACTGCGACTTCACTGCAGGAGCAACACTACACAGAGGACGAACTCAACGAACGACTTTGCTGTGATTGCTGTCGCAATTGGAACTCCGCTGACCGTGGAACTTCGTATCGTATCTCGAGCTAATGATTTATTTAAACTCCGATCCAATACTACGCGCGACCGAACGCGAACGATCAGCGTGCATTGAATAATTTCGGTCGTTCCTTCGTCTTTGACAAATTGTACCGGCCATTCTGGGATTTCTGCACAACGATCGAACACAAACGATCAATTTTTGAGCACCCCTAGGCCTACTGGGAGGTAAGGCCGACACACCCAACTGCCTTATTCGGACGTACTATATTTAGCTGCTGTAACCTGGCAGCACAGTCATGTGATTCACAGGCTTCACACGCGTGTGATTACCGCGGCCAGCTCTCGCAAAATTTGCCAAGTCGCTCTTTCCTCCTCTAGCAGTGGCGAGCCATCACGATGAGTCGACTTGCGACAAGTCATGGTCCTTAGCAATGGTATACCATATACATTGGGGATAGCCCTGTGGGATAGACCTGTGCAAACATACGAATTGATTATAGTATTGTGCTATTAACTAATAAAGGCTGGGTGATTATTCGAAGAAAGCGGGAGGCACTATTGTATGAGTTACTGCGTCGACTCGAAGTCGACGCGACAACTCACACGTCGCTGTAGGGGTCGAAAGGGGGACTTGGCAAAACGAAGTCAATCATGAGCGGTAGCATCACATGACCGCGAATATGGCGCCATCAAGGTACAGCGCCAAATATAGGGTGACTGGAAAAGGCAGTTGGGTGTGTCGGCCTTACCTCCTTGATACTGAGGAGGCGCAATGCTCAATTGCCGCGCGAGCCGCTTAGTAAGCAACTTGTGGCTGAAGAGTGGTCATACTGTACTAGCTGTGGCACCCGTAGCCACTCCGGGAGGTGTACATGTACATAGTATCAATTGCAGCTGTTTGCAAAATGATAAAGCCAGTTGAGTAATTTTTGTGTGCGGGGTGCCACCCCAAGTCTAACCAAAGCCGGTAAACGGCATACCACTACACACCAACACTGGCAGGCAGGGCGCTAAAGGTCTCGAAAGTGCAGTTGACTGCCTTCCGACTGCTCTCTGTGCCGTTTCTGGTGATTTTGCAGTTGTTTGTCCTTGGAGCAGCCTGTATGAGTGCAAATCCGGACTGGCTCTATCGTTTTGCAAACAGCTGTGATTTAATTTACTTTTATTCTATCAAGGAGGTTGAAGCCCTCTGCGCCCCTTGTCCTGACTCTCGGGTGGTGGCACTGCGCGCTGCCACCCTCGGCCAGGACATCGGGGCAAAGTGTGTTCTCCAAATGAGACAGGTCAGCCAATCAAATGCGATTATCTAAGATTACGTAAACTTACATCAGGAAACACCAAATTCTATAGTGATTTCCCCCCGGATACATAGTTTTCCATAGGTCTATGGAGGTCAGACAGGTCAACATAGATGGGGGGAAGCCAAAATAGGGAGTTATAGGTGAGATGTGTTTCCTGATGTATTACTAAGCAAAGACCGAACTACTGTCAAATATAAGGATCCCTGATGGTTGCTGCATGGCTGCATGCCATGGTACTCTCTGAGATTGAGTCCATCCTTGACATGACTCGGGAAGCTCCGTCTGGCACCAGCATCTTACCCCTCTGAATCCTTTGCATAAAGGGGCCGCGAACGCGGACAGTGAGCTTAAACTCGGCCTTCGCAATGTTGAAGTCCATCTGCTGAGGAACACCAACAACAGCCGTGGGAAACGGCCGACAAAATGCGCGTACGGCCCTTGCGCCATCAGTCAAGAAATCGTAGTGATCTCTCCAACCGGATGGCGAACCCTTCGGATGCGAGCCAACATCGAAGGTTGGTGTGGTGGCTCCTGTTACAGGCATTGTCGGAGTGTCCGTCCGGGACCCGAGCAACTTGTCGCCACTTG